GTTCCCCCGGGGGGGGGGGGGGAGGGAGCGGGAATCAAGATTGACATACAAAGCCACCTGCTATGAGAAACCTAAGGTCTAAATTCCTCCTTTTCCTAATCTAGGCCAGAAATCCTGAATCTACTATATCCCAGCAGAGGCCAGCACCCACCCCCTCTGAAATTTTCTTTAATTGAGGTTGTGCCTCTCCTGGCTTGGTTTGACAACCAAGTTTTATCTTGCTGGAAATGTTACAGTATTCCACTTCTATTGCAGAGTGGGGAACTAATGAGACATTACCAAATTATATTTTCATCATACCTGCACTGCTGGAAAGGTTGAAAGAATGCTCTCAACATTTAACATATTAAATTCCTAAATTCAGTTACTCAACCTATTCTAAATGTGTGAACCTATGGGCTAAGATTAGGTAACCCCAATCCATACTAAACATCAAAACATCTGTGACTTCAGTCCTTATAAAAATTCACAGAAACCTTTTTTTTGGCATTCAGATTTGAATGAAAAAAATGTTACCATGGAAGTGAATTATCACTTCCATACCAGCCATTTGTAGCTTCAAAACTTCTTTAACAAGACTGTTATCCAAACGGTTTTTGGATGTCTTTAGCAGAGCAGAAAGACTTCCATCACTAGAATAAGTAACACACTTGTTATGCAAGATTAAGGATTAAGGTCTCTCTGAGCTGCCATAAAACTAGGATACACATGGCTTTGCTCCCATGAAAATATTTGACAAACCTGCAACTGTGTGTAAACATTATCAAGATATACCGTCAGATGATCTAATCCCCACAGATGTATTATTAATGGCATTGTTACTAATAATAATACTTTATTATTAATCTTCAATAATCCTTTACTTTTTTTTTTAATTACAGAAAGAACCTAAAATAAAAGGCATTATCACTTTCAATGACATGAATCAGGATCCAAGTAACTCAGAACTGCAACAGAAAGGTTTCCATTATTGAGAAAAATTAAAAAAAAAATAGTTCAAATAAAGCAATAAATGAAGTAATTTAAGGTACAATCCAACATTCACTGAAAATCAGAGCAAGAAATTATAAAATCTAGAGTTAAAAAAAAATCTAAAGGTAAATACAGAGTATTACTAGAGTAAATATTAAATGTACTAATAGCTTCAACATTTTTGCTAGGAACTTCTGCAGTTCAGCATTTATTTCTATCTAAACTGTTTAAGCACAATTCATAGTCTCAGTTTTGAATCCTTCTATAATTTAATACAAACCTCAGGATTTTTGAGGTACTTCATAAACTTTATGTCCCTATTTCAAGTATAAGTAAGATGCACACTCATTCATTCAAACTTGAATGCATCACTCACTGTAACTTGAATATATTAGAAAGACTCAACTCAAAAAGATATTTAAAGACAAGTCTTAGAAAGTTTTTATATGTCACTCAGGGAAATAACTGCTGTTAGCACTTAGCCAGGACCACTACTATATTGAAGAAAATACCTTCATATAGGTATTTTACTTAGTATATAGATATTAGCTTTTAAATGAGCTTTTAGAATACAGTTTTCTGAGTTTCATACTTTTTCACTGGCAAAATATCTTTTATGGTTGTTAGTTTCTGAGTTTTGTCTTTCCTCACTGGACACTTACTGGAATAGCTATGCTTTTGGATATGAAAATACTGACAAACTGTCAAATACATTAACAATCACCAGGGACTCAAAATGTAAGTTGGTAGTAAAGATAAACTTATTTACCATATTAATTAAATGGCCTATTTAACATGGAATATCAATTCTCTAATCGCATCTCATTTGAACTTCTTATTCCAATTAACAATCCTAAAGTCTACTGGAGACCCTACTGTTCTAGGATCATTAAGAACATTTTCATTATCTGTCAAATGAGGATGGAGAAGGCAGAAACTGCAAGTACTCTCAGGAGTAGGCCTCTATCCTATTTAAGAGATGATCAGGGAGAAAGCAGCAGTAGTTCTCATTAGTTGCTTAGCAATGAAATGTCCCCCTATGAAACAATAAAAGACCGACGTAGCAGAGGTGTTGCCATGCAAATGAGTAAATGGATAGTCCATCATCCACTCAAGGATAATCTGTCCTTCATTAAATCTAATCAATCTGGATTAAGACACCAATAGGTATCTTGCATAGAGAAGGTAGGAAGAATCCACTATATACAGCCTCACTAAGTAGCCAGACAACGGGTTGCTCAAATTTACATATAAGCACTGTGTATTTTCAGTGTATGCACGTATGACAGATAGAAATACAAGGAAAACAGTTTTAATTCAAGACAGATTAACATTGTAATTTTTACTGTTTAACCTTACTTTTTATATCCATAATAATGTAATAATTAGCCATACTCTTAATGTTTAAGACTTAAATACTAATCTATAAATTTAAGATATGAATGATGTTCTAGTAAGAGAGGAGCATTTAGCTAATATTAGAGTTCGCCAAACAAAAAAAGTTTTCAGAAAGTATACTCAAATGTTAAGGCCACAAACTCACCAGAAATACAGCTGTTCACACTACTATTGTTACTAGCATTGTAAGCCCAGAAGAACAGAGTTCTTAACTAGAGAAACAGTTACTGATGCCTTAATTTTCAGATCCTAATTCCAGATTGCCATTCTTTCAGCTACAGGTTCAGGTTAATAGGTTCCCTCTACTTTAATTTCCCCACCACTCATTTAAAAGGTTTCCTTGTTTCACAGTTTTTTTTTTTCTTGGGGCAGGAATTGTGTTGTCTGGCTTCAGGGGTTTTTTTGGTTTGGTTATTTTTGTAAACAGCTGCTCATTTCATGTGTACAATTTAAAGTTTTCACAAAAAAAGGGAATTAGGAGGGAGAATAGAACCACCTTGAAGAAAAAAAAAGCATCAGGAGTGGTGAACACTTCTTAACTAGAAATCAAGATGAACACAAATGCTAGATTGTGCTGCTTTCCCCTGCTTTCAGATCTGACAAACTAGAACACTGTCTGCAACTTCTACAGAGGGTTTTGGTTGGTTGGTTTTTGTTGGCGGAGGAGGTCATTTGGAAGAAAAACCTGAAAGATTCCTGAACTCCACCGACTACTTGCACAAAATCTGATTGCTTTTCAGATTATAGAGAACTACACAGATTTATAATTACAAAAATTTGTTAAAATTAACGTGTCAAAGTATGCTTTGATTAGCTAATACAAGTAGTTTTTCAGATTAAAATGAAGATGCTGTTCCAAAACCAGTACCAATTCATAATTAAGACAATTCTTACCTATATATTCACAAACGAAGACTACAAAAAAAGGAGTGACAAGATCATTTATGCCCTGAACATATCCACTGGCTGGATGACGTATTGCCCAGATAAACAAAATTCTTTCAAAGATCTGAAAAAGAGTTAAAGAAACTATCAGATAATTTATCAAGCGATGAGCACATTTTAAACAAGTCACTTGAAAATTACACAAGGACAAATTTAATATCATAGAGTTAGTGGTAAAAAAACAATCATACAAAAGCATAAATGAATACTGGTATTCATAATTAACTTCCAGAGTTAAGTAAGCTTCTCAGTTCTTCAAAAGGAAGCATTTTAAGGGTATTAGCACTTGTTAAAACCAACCTAGTATATAATTCAGTTACAGTTATTCACTGGAGCTTTTCCAATAATATAAAATTCCTCTTTCCTCAGGAGACAGAAACATTAAGTCATCTTCCCATGATTTTTCACCTCTTTGAAAGAAGTATTTTAACAATATAGTATTCTATTTATTCCTAAATAACAGAAATAAGTGCTTCATATAGCTTAGATTTTTTAATAACATGCCCATAGAAACAGATTCTGTAATAGCTAAATTTGCCTAATAATGCAGTGTGGGGTTTTTGGGCTTCAGAAGCATGTATACTACTTTATGTTAAAAAAAAAAAAATCGGAAAATTTAGGAAATGTATACATAAGGCAACTGCCTGCTGTATCATACAACGTCACCTCCTCAACTCTGTAAACTGTACCTTGCTTAAGATCTGCAAATGCTCCTAAGGCCACAACATATCTGATAATGGGAAGAACAGCATAAGAAGATTATGGAGTAAGGAAATCACAGAACTTATCTCTGACACAATTTAGGTCTGGGACAAGCTGTATTTCCTCTCAATTATTTGCTCTGAACATGCTACATGTCTTTAGAATGCTGCAAATAAGGGGCAGAGTGAAAGCCGCTATGTGCTTTGCCCTAATTACAGGTACTCAATCAGGTATAACCTTCTGAAGCAAAAGAACATTTGCTCTTTCCCCAGGTCTCCCCAGAATGCAGAGGTGAGTGAGTGGAACAAAGAAAGGAGAGCTCAAACCGAAGGACTATGTCGCTTTTAAGATCAAGCCTCAATACTAACAAAAAAGGAGAGACTTTGTAAGGACCCCAAGGAAATCACGTAGTTTGCTGTAACCCCAGAAGTCAATGAATGCTCAAGCTTCAAGAAAGCCTGTAAAAGACCTGCCCTGAAAGGACACAATAGGAAGAGGAAGTTTAATTTATGAAGCCCTTATTATTTCATTCAGTCTCACTTTAAGTTTTTGCTAGATTAAGAAATTGACTATTCTAATTCCATTTTAAATAAAATCTTATTCTTTAGTTTAAAAGCCCTCTTGCAGTCACTTTGAAGTAAGGGAAGGTCTAGGCATATATGACTTGCATCTGGGTGCTTGAGAGTCCCACCACAGGCTTCCACATGAGCTACCTGAAGCTGAAACACATTTGCACCTTTTGCTTTGAAAACAAAGTCCCAAATATCAACATCTACCCTTCTCCTACAGGCTTTCTTCTGAGATCAACTTTCCTTCAACTCCAGGTTTTGTTTCCCTGGCATGCTGAAAATCCACAGAACACAGGAGACAGTCAACAACAACAAATATGAAAAGCTTTGGTGGGCAATGAAACACAGACCTTAACAGCTACAATTAAGATTCAGTTTTTGCTAAGTGTGATTTCAGTTTTGGGGCAAAGATTAAGCTGAAAGTAAGGTATTCATTTAGCAAGTACCCTATAAAAGCCACCTGTTTTCATTATCCAAGATGCTTATTCCTTTAGCTATAAATTCTTCTTGGTGCTTGTCCTGTCACCTCACGTTTTTTAATATGCAGTGCATTTTAAACTGAAAAAATACCAATCTCTGCCCATCAAGCAGTAGCCAGTGGGGTTTCATTGTCTACCAACAATCATATAAAGACCTTAAGTTCTGCCATTAGAGCTTGCTTTTGCATTTTACGTAATTATACCTTTGCAAAATTACAGTTGTTTGTCATATTTTTACTATCATTGGAAAACTGCAAATCTAAGTTAGTTAGCTCACGGCCATCCTTCCTGCTTCTATCAGCTGCTGCTTCTAATTTCAGTAACATTAGTTTTTCACTATTATCAGTGTTATCATTCTGCGTTTCACTTCAAATAAAGGACACGTTTAACATACTGCAAATACAAATAACTTCCTTGAAAACAAGTATCAGATAGAGGTGAGTAAAAAAGCCTATTTAAACAGCAACTGCTGGATGTCGAACTGTGTTATATGCTACGCTAAACAAAAAAAAAAAAA